CCGTCCGCGCCGCCGGCAGCCCTGGGGGAGCCGGGGAGACAGCTGCCAAGGGGAGATACCAGGCCTGACTCCGCGGCCGAGCCCCCAGCCCTGACCCCGCCGCACTGCCGAGCCCCCTCCTGCCCTCCTCGGGGAACCGGTCTTTGTAAATAACAACGGAGCTGGCTTTCTGCGCAAACATCAAATCATGAGATTAGAGCCTCGGTCCCCCTTCTGCTTTACTCTCTGGAGTGCTTCCCCCTCACAAAGCCTTGTTTGCTTCTGGCTAGAATGTGGCCTCCTACGCAGGCCTGTGTTCGCTCGCTCGCTCATCTTGGTACCTACTGCCGTCTCATCGGTTTGCAACAGGCTCTGGATAAATATCTTTTAAAGAGACCAGAGATTTAATCCCCAAACCATTTTACTTCCCTCCAGTGACTCAGCCGTTTTAGCCTTTGTCTGTTAAGAGAGAAAGGATGAAAAAATATCTATCCATCTATCTATCCATCTATCTATCTATCTCATAATCCTTGCAATCCATACCCCATCTACCTCTCTGGGGTTATTGTGAAAATCAAATAAGTGACAACACTTCGTAAACTACCAGGTGCTGAGCAAATACTATATAGGATGGTTATCCATTCATTCCCTCCATGCAGGAAGCTTAACAAAGTAATTCCTGGTATTGTGTTTCAGCAAATGGTGATCACCCTTCCTGGTAAGTCCTAAATATTTATGGTGGAACAGTCTCCTCGTTCTAACATTTAGGAAATCAATCAGGTTTCTGTTTCTTTCGGGGAAAAAAGGACAGTGTTTACACACATAAATAATGACAGAAAAATCTCTGTAGTCCCCAAACAGCCCCCTTCAGCAACCCCAGAGCCGGAAGGCCGGAAGCTGGTGAAGAACTCAGGAGATAGGAATAGCACCTCCAGGGCAGGGCCAGGCAGCCCCACCACATTCCAGCAGGGGCTTGTGTGTGTGCAGTGCTGTCGGAGGGACCGAGAGCGCCCTCGGGAAGGCATGCCCCTCGTGGTCATTTCCATGCACGCCCCATCTGTGCTGGAAGGGAGCTGGAGAAGGATGTAAATCATTATACTCGAATGTTCCTTGGCTGTGTTATTTTCCTGTCAAGTGGCTTATGCTTGATTAAAAAAAAAAAAAAAAAAAAAAAAGTCTCTCATGGCCAAATATGTGTTTCCTTAGAATTGAAATCTAGGTTGATGGTTTTATATTTTAAAAGCTTTCATTGTGAGTCACTTTTGGCCTGGGATGAGATTCCATAATACTCCCCAAGCTCACGGAGCCTTGGTGTCCTGTTTCTTGGGCTTCGCAACCGCGTTCTAACATTGTACCAGTGGATCCAAGACGTCCGTTTTTTTTTTGTTTTTTGTTTTTTTTTTTTTTTTGGAGGGGGGTATGTATCACTGTCTGCTTGTCACCCTAATCAGTGGGAAGGGAAGCAAAACCATGGTCTTTCCCCAGCGAAGCCAGAGGACAATGGGCAGCGGAAGGTTTTCTAGTGTGAACAGACTGGTGGCTGGACAAAACTCAGGCAGCAGTGGAGACTTTGGCAAAGGTGGCTTTTGAATGAGATAGGTCTAGGGAAGCCCTCACGCAGGCTCAGCCGTGGTGAGTACTCCATATGTGGGCAAGAAGATTTATGACAGCAGCATCTGGCTGTTGGAAAACTCACACGGGCTCTCCTCTCCCTGGAAGGCTCCAGAAAGGAGTGCCCGGCTGTGGGATCCTAACACTATCCAAGCACATTGTCGAGATTCTTGTTCGGTGGCTTGGGATTCCAGATGTGCCTGCAGCATACCGCCACGTGGAAGAGGCGCTCAGGCAACCCCCGGGGGACACCTTTTAACTTTGGCCTTTCCAGCGCATATAGAAAGACATAGGTCATTCTTTTATGAAGACAAGCTGCAAAAGCCTAAGAAATGTCTGGTGTGCACATATCTGACAAAACAGGCAGATTCGGGAAACAGGAGCTTTGGGTCCTGTTTACCCAAATAATTCTGCAAAACCTTGAGGTTTTCCAAGCCCAGAAAACTCCTAGCACTGTCTTTAGCTATGCCGTCCCTCCTGAGCAGCAGCTGGGAAGAGAGATCAGTTTTGTTCTGTCCAGACCACATTTGTTTTTTAGCCCAGACAATTCAATTCCATGTACATTTCTAAAAACCTACTAGTGGCGGAACCTAGCGCTCGCTGAACCGGAGAAAACGGACCCCAACTCTCACCCTCCACTGATTTGCATCTCGGCTGCCTCTGCGGAATCACACACACTTTCCCAGTAGCCTCCTAACAACCGCCCATCTCTTCCCCTTCATCCATCCTTCACCCCACAGCTGCAGTGACCTTTCCAAAGCACAAATCGGATCATGTCACTGCCTGATCGAGGCCCTGAAACAGCTCCCTCTGGCCACAGCAGCCCATCGCAAATGATGCGCAGCAGAAAGCAGGTGCTCTCAGAGCTGCACCATGCTGGGCCGTGGCTAATATTAACTAATGACGGGCTTCTCCTGGTTGGCAGAAAAAAATTAAGCTAATTGATGGAATAGTCTCCATCTTAAGTGTTTTTCTCCTTGCTTTCTCTTAAACCATCAGTTGCTGCTACAGTGGGGCCGTATTAGAATATAACATAGACTAAGCCTGATTTATCCCAGAAGCACACATCGCATTGCAGTTTTTTCTCCTTGTTTTCATGTACCCATCCTTCCTGGTGTTCTGCTTGCAGGTTCTGTTCTCTCCCCAGGCTGTGTCCCTCCCTCCTTGACTTCAGGCTGGCATCTAGAGCCTTCCATAACCCCTTCCTCTCTGGAAACATGACTTGGCTTTTCTCCACGATGTTGGACCCTTCCTCTTCTGCTTGGAAAGCTCTTCCTTATAGACTTAGTGCCCACGCGACTGGCTACTATAAGTATCTGTAAGACAGATGAATGATGGATTGATACATACATGCAAAGATGAGACAGAATGCTAGAGAATACCAGACAGAAAAGACTCAAAATGAATGGTATGGAGAACAGTGTAGTGGTGCTCTGAACCCTCTAGGTGTAATTGGTCCCAAGGTTCTCATATGCTGGGTCCTTTTCACAACTCAGGTCTGCTTGATATTAAGCAGCCCCCCTACTTAGCTACAGTAGGGTCCAAGGTTTCTCCTCTCCCACGACTCATCCTTGGCCAACCTCAAGATTCAAACAATGTCTACCAACCTGGCTTGCAGGCTCTGAGGCCAAGAAAAAGGCCTCTTTGATAGTAACAGATGCCTGCAAAGCATATCTACATTTCACTTTTTTTCCCAGGATATTGTTGACACATATGTACTGAAATAAATCAGCCTCCCATCTTAACCATCTCCCTTGGCAGGAGCACGAAGTTGTTGTGCCCAGTCAGGGCTGACCAGTATGACTCAACCCTTGAAATATAAAGGAAATCATTGTGTTGTCACCCTAGCAGGTATTGAGATGCAGCCAGCTCATCAATTTCTAGTTCTTTTCCCCAATGGCCATAACCACCATCCTGCTTGTGGTAATTTGTGTGAGGTGCACGTACAGGGATGGACTGCAGCCTCTTCCAGATGCTACCTTGTTACCACATCCTCTCTTCCTTTGTCTGCAAATGACAGAACCCAAATCACACTGGCTTAAGTGTAAAAGCCAAAGTGTGTTGGCGCAAGGAAGAAAAACAATCCAAGCATAGTGGGACTTAGAAAGTAAATAGTGTCAGCAAGAGTCTTGGTGTCCCCGCTTTTCCTTTCTCGAGAGTCCCATTCTCAAGGCAGCTCTCCCCAGAGGTGACAAGATGATGGCCAGAAGCTTTTCACTGGTGTCTGTTGGTAGAGTAGGCCTGATGCGGGGTGGGGAGAAACACTTCTCACTACGAGCAGCTTCACTACAAGTCCTCAAACTGGTCTCCCTTGGCATGTCTTGGGTCATGTTCTTACGGCTAAACCCCAACCTTAGAAAGTAGTGATCACCAGAATGCTGAGGCCTGGCTCATACGATCACTTCTTGGTCAGGGAAGGAAGGGCAGGGCACCAGGGTCTGAGTTACTCCAACAAAATAGACTGCAATTTGCCTTTCCTGAATTCAGTTGTGTTCAAATACA